ACCGGCTACTCGCCATTTTACCTAGTTTATGGACGCTCCCCTACTTCTTTCCTGGACGTCTCCTTCTTTACCTGCCAAGCGAATTCATCTCCATCCTCTTCAGAGGAATACGTTTCACGACTCGCATAGTGCCGCCAACGAGCTCGTATAAACACTGAAGCCCGCCAGCAAGACAGAAAGCTAGTTTATGATGAATCGCATCGTGATGTATCCTTCCAACCTGGAGACGAAGTGCTCCTTTTGACGCCTGTTCGCACACCTGGTTTGTGTGACAAATTTCAGCCTCGGTTTATCGGGCCGTACACAGTTCTTGAAGAGACTTCACCAGTGAATTATCGCGTGACGCCACTTGTAACCCCAGCAGATCGCCAATATCGAACTACAGAGATCGTCCATGTCTCCCGTATGAAGCCCTTCATGCGACGTTCTTTGTCCCCTTGACTAGCCGCGGCCAGGCTGGCCGCTTTCACGTGGGGGGAATTGATGTGGGCATTTAGTATACGCATCCTCTTCACCGGTACATTATCATTATTATCATGTGTGGCTCATGCATCCTCATCGTTGTCGCGTAGCATCATCATCTTAGCTCATTCATCGTAGCTGTCGGCTGCCGGTTCCTCGGGCCTAATAAAAAGTAATCCAAACCAAGACTTCATAATATTATCATACATTTCTTAGGTACAGGCGCAGCCCTCAATGGTCACTAAGTAGTATTGATTCGGCTCTCATCTAGCTAAAATCTGCGTATTCGGAATCAAAATTTCCGCTGTTTCGCATGTAGAGATAGCAGACGACGCTCCTTCGCCAATTCCAAAGCGACAGCAGCACAGCCGCTGCGCGGGATACGGGAGGGGGCCGCTCCTCGCCGCTACGACTGCGCGCGCTTGCCCAACTAACAGTATCTAAAAACGTTGATTTGAACATAACATGCTCGGTCATTACAGTGATCGCTTAAGGGGGGACGTGGCAAGTAAAACTAATTTTTTTATTAATGTACTGTTTGTGATGAAATTTGGTGTGTGTATGTGGATGATTGTGAGGATTCCAAATATGAAAACCGTTTTCAAATACCTCTTGTACTTTTTGAGTTACAAGCATAATTATACTAATTAATGCTCTTCGCACTTAAAGAGATAATTATTGCTAAATGAAATTATTTTTTCATATTATTATGTTCCCAAAGCATCAACTTGTGCAAAGAAGCTATTAGTTGATTTTTCTAGTTCTTGTAACCATAAATAAAATTTCCAAAACATGGATGTTGTTTTGCGCACACATTGCAGTAATTATGAAATGTGTTCTAAAAATTTTAAATGATGAGTAAGAAGAGAGATAAAGCTTTATTGCACTGCTAAAGGCCTCCTGAGCCTAGTGCAAAAAACGGAACGACTCTATCAGTCTTTGTTAAAAAATGACAGATGTTCTAGCGAAGGCACATAGGCGAAAATCAAGAGTTGAGAAAACTGACTTTGAAAGTTCACTCTTGTTTGGAAGTTCACAACATGCCTAAAACACTCAGAATCCTCCTGGGCAGTAATCCTGAGATGCTGTGGCCTTGGCCTCTGTAGAGCGCAACCCAGTTTTGCGCTTCTTTGTCGTGGAACAATGCGTCTTTTGAGCCCTCTTCACCCTTTTGGCATCCTTTTCGGCTGCTCGCCGCAAAGAGCAGTCTCCTGGATTGAAGCCCAGTTGAGCAGTGATCTCTTGCAGCGCACTCTTGCAGCCACCATTGAAACGGCAGACTGCATCTGCAACTGCACTTTCCACACTTCGAAGGGAGGCGAACTGGCTCTTGGACTGGAGTGACCAAATGAGGCTGTTCATACTCTCCACAGCGTTCTGGGTTTTTCCCTGCGCACACCTTTCAAGGAGCTCTTTGTTCGAGAGGCGCTTGTAGATTGGCAGCAGTGCCACTCGCACGTGAGGGGGCAGTTTATGTTTGTGAGGCGGCAGCGGCTCTCCCTTGGCCAATGCCTGATTGTGCGGGCACCAGGAGTCAGTCCCACTTGGCCACAGGTCGTGGTGTGGATCCTGGTCTGTGGATGTTACATGGTAATAAGTGGCCATGATGGCCCTCTCCATGCCAGGAACATCGTTGGGGTGGCTCTTAATGGCCCAGCCATAATAATTCGTCAACTTCTTTATAAGGCCCTGCGTCAGCCGGCCTTTGCCACCCATGCTCAGTCCTCGGCCTTTGGATTTGTGCTCATCAAGAAGGTTGCGCAAGGAAGTGCCCATTCTTTTTTTCACATGGTTCACACACTCCTGTTTCTTAATCAACATGTAGCCATACACCTTGTCTTGCGTGAGGGCAAGGTACGTACGGCTGTCACCGTCGCAGAGCACATTGATGTATCGAAGCTTGTACTTGGTAAACGATCTTTCAAACATGATCCTCGCTGCTTCTACTTCCATTTGGCCTGCATTAGCATCGGTGTTCTTTTGGCACTGTGGCTTGTGTTTCTCAAGCCACTCCTCATAGTTGTCGTCACCAGGCTTGGGACCAACAGCACAGCCTTGGCAGTAGTTGGACAGGACACAGTGGTCCAAGACCAAGCCTGTGTACAGCTCGATTACACAGCCCACGCCAATATGACTTCTGTGCCCCCTCGTCATCCACGTGCCGTCGTAAATGACGTCAATGTTGCCTGGCACTCCTCCTAGGTCCTTGTAAATGTCATGCACCTTCTGTGCACTTTCTGCTTCAATGCGGGTGGCAGCTGATGTGGTGGCAGGGTGGCTGTACTTCCTTTGCAGTCTCTGGTAGGACTTGTGGTGCAGTGCTCGATGCGAAATGTCCATCGCAGAAAAAATGTCATTTATGGCAGATTGTTTTCTGCCAACTGACTGCACAGCCCTCAAAGCACGCACGTTTACCTCAAAGGGGTTCGTTTTTTGTTGCCCGGAGCACCTCGGGGACGACCACGCACTGTTCACTATGCCACAATTGTCACAAAAAAAGTTCCATCCTCGCCGCGAGTCCAAGGCAGTGCGTAGTCTCGAGGCGTATCGACCCTTCGTCGCACTTGTTGCACTTTACTGATGAAAGCAGACCGTTCAGCATCTTCTTATTTACAATGAATAATGTGGAGTCCTTACCGCCGTCATTTTCGTCGCAGCCTTCGTTCAGAAGCTCGAGCTTCCGCTTTGAAGCGGATTTCGATGCTACGGCATCCAAAACATCCCGCCTTGTCTGCGCCCGCTGCGCGATTTCTTCACTGCTCGGAATCTGGGCCGAAACTCGCGATACAATGTTCGACGCGCGCACGCCCGGAGTTGCAACGGCTGCCGACGCGGTGCCACCGCAATCGGGTTCGCGAGAGCGTCCATCACGGTCGACGGCATCCGGCGGTCTGACATACGACGATGTGGCACCTTCCACACTCTCGGCCTCACAACAATCAGCGAAGGGTCTGAGTAGAGGCTCCGTGACGCTTGAAGAGCATGCTCCGTCCGGAACTGCGACTGGGACGGCAGCCGCAGTCGTCTGCCCTTTGTTCCAAGCTTTCCGACGCTTGCCGTACTTGTGGACGCTCCGGAACTTTTTTTGCGACAACATAGCACCGCAGTATGAGCAAGCACTCAGAAGAGACCACCGATGTAAACAAAGCTTGGTAAAAAAAGCACGCGAACTATCACAAAAACAGCCAACTGGCAAAAAACGAAGCGCACGCCGGATGATTCTCGACTCGGCGGCCGCAGATGCGCTCGCGCTTCCAAGGTTGCCAAGGTGCGCGGCGCAGCTTTGACCAGTAAGAGGTCGCGCCTGCTACCACGTGACCCGCGCAGCCAATTGCCGTTCTTCGTTTTCGTTTTTTTACTTGCTCCTCGCGCTTTTATTTTCACTCGGCGAAATACGAGACCGCGACCATCGGGAAGCCGGCTTTCTCCTCTTTCCAAAGCTACCAAAATGGCGGCCCACGGTCAACAACTTGGCGCGTTTGTGCGGCGTGAACAACACCGTTTCAGGGGCTTTTTTTTCGCACTTTTCGGCGACTAGCCTCGGCAAAAACACTATTTGCGGGATTTGTAGCGCACGTTTCGCTGTAATATTTTAGAACAAGGAAGTTGAAGGTCTGAAGATTACGAAAAAAAATAAATCAGAAAATCGCATATTTTGACCAAAATCGGCACTTTACTTGCCGCGCCCCCCCTTAAGAGACTGTGACTTGTTCACACGTGATAGTGCAATCGCCCTGAATAAGCTGCGTATTCTAAGAAAACAAAAAAGGAGAAAAGTGCTCAAGGTGACGAGGGGCGTGAGAGGTATTTTCTTTTCCTGTGCATTCCTCCCAGCATGACTTCCAGCACTTTCGTCACAACGAGAGAAGAAAAATGCGATTGCAGCGTGCAACAAACCTTTGTAACTGCGCTCATACTGGACAAATTCTAAAACTTCTTGCATTGGTGAAATCATGAGGCAACAAGCTCTTTTGTGAATTCGCTTCATTGCTACTTGAAAAAGCGTTGAAAGGCAAAGGGGCCTTGCATAATTCTTTCCACAGTAGAAAATGCTGCACCCCACTACTTTTATCACCCCGTGCTCTGGATCACTGTCCTTCCTATGATTATCCTTTCAAATGTGCACCTGAGGAAACAATAAAACAGCAACTGTGTGCGCAAAACGCTAATGAGCCATGCCTGCAGCCCCCTGGTTATTGTATAAAGGAACCCGAACAGGTGGCCTCGTGGTTTCCAAGATCACCAACGCCAATGCCAGTGCTGGAACACAAGAGCCACTGCTTCCGTTTTTTACGCATACCGTAGACGCTAGAAATGTAGGAATAGAAATGAAACTTTGATGTGTGTCGAAAAATGGGCAGTTTAGAAACCTGAAATTCACAAACTGAACACCTTCCCAGACCCCCTATAAGCTCTCGAAATGCCAACCCCTAAAGTTTTGCATACTGGTACCAGAGTTTTCGATTTCGTGCAGCAGGTACATGAACCTTTTGTGAATGTACTACCACCAAACAGTGGACACGCACTGCACAACTCACCTTATTGTGTGCTGTCAGTGCTGCTTCGCAGTTCATTGAGACGTTGCAGAGCTTGCAGGAAAACGGCAGGGGATGTCTCAGTATGGAGGTACTCTTGACGGGGCCCACCACTCTGGTGTCTACAGGCGCAGCTGGCGCGTCAGTCTGATTCAGGGTTGCCATTTTCTTCTTGTGCTTAGCGCTTTGCATGTGGTCCAGGTAAGGCACCGGGCCCGTGAACTGCATGCAGCATTCCTTGCAGGACCGTGGTTGCGAGGGCATCTGCAAAGGATGACACCACAGCAGAGTTGATAGATGTGTCTAAGCATGAAGTCACGTGTAGGCTGGGCAGCGGCTAGATATTTCACCAAGGCATAAGCAAATATTCGAGTAAATGTTAGAGCTTTCAAGTTTGCTTTGACATGAATTTGAGTTATTCGAAATTTGAAAGATTTTGATAAGTGAATACATTTACAGTTGTTACTGTTCTCAATGAGGATCTATTTGACTACACACGCACACGCGCACACTGCTCCAAAGTGCCGCATTGAGGTTAAATGAACACATTACCTTTACGATCATTACTCTTTTTTCTTTGTGTTAAAGACTTTTCACACAGTCTTATAAGCTTTGAGTACCGTGAACTTTGAAACATGGCACATATTAGTTATCACATGCAACCTACTGGAATTCAATTCCTTTAACTGTATCGCTAGCACTTAGATTTTCATTTTAAAATATGACATGGGTATGACTAAGTTGAAAAAAAAAAAAACAATATTGTGCAGGTTAGCTTGTTCATTACAAATATATGCATTTTTCTTTAAAATATGTGATATATATTGTTCGAACAATGCGATTAAAAATTGTTCAACCAAATCCCGATTCACTCTGTATTCTCTTGAAACACTCAATTTACTTTTGCACATCCCTCACTGGAATCATAATAATCAAAAGCACTGAATTTATCAACTAGAATAGATACATCGTATTTGCACTTTTTGTTTCAGATACGTAAGCTACAAAACTCCTTGTTTCATAGCTTGTTTTATAACAAGTTATGGTCCCATCAATTAAGCAATAACCATAGATTCCAGAGTTACAGTGGACTCTCCTTAAACGGAACCTGAAGGGACCAGGCAAATGTGTTTCGTTTAACAGGAGTTCCATTTACTAAGAGGTCAACTAGGGTACAGCATGCAGGGATTAAACCAATCATATCAGGGGCAGTTGTTCCATTTAAGCAGCAGTTCAGTTTAACAGATTTTTGTTTACTGAGAGTCAACTGTACTCATATAAAAATGTCCTGAACTGTAGTTACTTCTATTAAATTGAATGAAGGTCATCTCATGTCAAACATTCCAATAATTTCGGTAACCATCTCAAATGTATTTATTTATTTATTTATTTATTTATTTATTGAATACTGCTGGCCTGAATTTTTAGGCCTTAAGCAGGAGCAGATGGGTTACACTGTGAATACAAATGCACTTGAACAATAAACGAGCAGATCAGCAAAACGCCAGAAAAAGTCAGCTAGTGAAACAATTACAGCACTACATACAAATACGCGAGAATGTTCTGTGTATGAAAACAAGTGACTTGTTTACAAAATGCATTGTTCAACACTTGCAATGAAAAGGGGGGAAAAATAAACAAGTCTTTTAGGTGGACCAGACATTTCATTAACATAAAAAATGTAACCGAAAAGATGAAGACACATTAAATAATGAAAAGCAAAACAAAATATGGGCGGCTATTTTGTGACAAGTTGAATACACCAATGGTGATAACGGTGCCATCACTTCCCGTCTTGAAGTGCGGAAATGAAAGTGAGAACAGAAGGGCATTCGATTGTTCTTCTGGGTAGGTGGTTCCAATCTAATATTATGCAGGAAAGAAAAAATTCGTGTACGCCTTTGTTTTGCATGAAATTTCACTAACATTTCCTTTGAGTGGGAACATCGAGTGGGACGCTGTGTGAAAGGTTTTTGAAAGAAGTCGCGCTGCCTTTTCGCATAAAAACAGGGAATTGCTGAAACATTACAATATTTTTAGAGAAGAAATTTGGGGTCACATGCAAGCCTTCCAAGCTTTGTGGATTGCCATGCGAGTGCTGTTCGTCAAACTTTTTTCTCGGAGCCTCGTTTCTCATTTCAACATCAAATTATGCTCGCATATTAAGCAAAGGTATTTATGTAAGGTGTTGGAAGACCAATTATATTACGGTAGTCTTTCTGCCTTATACACCTTCAGAAATCTTGCCACAATGTTTAACGTTTGTGTTTTTTTTCCCCCTCGAAGCATTATGTTTTAATGAATGATATGTGGGGTTTAACGTCCCAAAACCACTATATGATTTCGAGAGACGCCGTACTGGAGGGCTCCGGAAATTTCGACCACCTGTGGTTCTTTAACGTGCACCCAAATCTGAGCAGACGGGCCTACAGCATTTTCGCCTCCATTGAAAATGCAGCCACTGTAGCCGGGATTTGTTCCCGCGACCTGTGGGTCAGCTGCCGAATACCTTAGCCATTAGACCACTGCGGCGGGGCTCATAACATTATGCTATGTATAAATATCTGAGTAACGGACAAGTACTTACTCCATTGAAGCTATATCCAAAGTTAGTAGCTGCAGACCACAAAAGTTTTTAAGTTTTACAACAAACCCTGAATTTCATGAAATTGTCATTTAGTTCACACTGAGACCTATTTACACCACGAGCACTCCAATTAAGAATTTCGTTTATGCCTCTACCAAAAGCAAATAAATGTATTCTCAAATGAAAAGTTTTTTGTTTTATTTAAAAAAATAACTTTTAAAGCTTCCTACTGACAGATTTACCTAATAATGTCATACAGTAATAGCTCGCTACTCAAGTCTCCCATCCCCAGAATGGGAAAAAATCATTATAGATCAAAGCGTGCCACATATGGTTTCAAGATGCACCTATTTTGGCTTCTGTCACTCTTTTGAAACATCACTCACATAGCCAAGCCAATTTGTTTTAAGTGATTGGTCAACGAAACCAATCACAACATAAGAAAATTCGTTATGATAATGTATTGAAATGGAAATGCTTCAATGTTGTTCAAACTGTAGCGGTACGCAGCATCGGGAAGAAGGCTGTCCCATCTTGCATTGCTTGAGGAATCCAAGAGTCCTGTACGCGTCTACTGCAACTTCAATGATGTGGCCTGACCATGTCAAGGTACTGTTTATGAGGACACCCAGGTGCCAGCTTTTCACGACTACCTAGTCTGTCATAAGACTTCCAAGTAACAGTTTATAGATTCGCGCAACAGAGCCGTTGAGCAAGAGATCTATATCTACCTAAGCTACTTTTCTGACTTCCTATTTGCTGTCATGGGGATTTAAGTTTGTCAATGTGTCATTTTTTAATGTGTGCCAACAGTTAAGCCCACAAAAATCGCCGAATTTCGCCCCTGCAAAAGGTGGGCGAAGCAACTAGGGACCAAAAAGGTGCCTCTGTGGTTAGAAGCGCGATGCCTCGGCCACTTAGTCACCGCAACGGCTCACTAGAGTGATGAAAATTGAATATGCGCAGGCACCTACGTCTCATTGATTGATTGATTGATTTGTGGGGTTTAACGTCCCAAAACCACCATATGATTATGAGAGACGCCGTAGTGGAGGGCTCCGGAAATTTAGACCACCTGGGGTTCTTTAACGTGCCCCCAAATCTGAGCACACGGGCCTACAACATTTCCGCCTCCATCGGAAATGCAGCCGCCGCAGCCGGGAATAACCTACGTCTCCTTCGGCTGCGCAGGCGCACGGGTCGCCTGCTGCGACGCAGTCAGCCAAGTCTCCAGGAGCAGTCACACAACAACGCAGGGTGCAACCACCAAGAAAAAGACTACCACCAGAGCGTTATGGCTACTAGGTGTAGCAAGAGAAGTTGTGCTAAAGTGAATGAAACGGACGTATCCAGTGCGGTGGATTCCTTTTGTAAACTGTGTGATTTTGTAGTACTAAATAGTTACGTTCATTGTACAGGTTGTATTTTTGTATAGTGTTTTTTCACATATGTGCTAACACACTAAACTACTAAATCACTAATCCATATAGCTGTTTTTAAAGAAGGGAATGTGTTGTATATTGGCCTGTTTGGTTTCGGTTCCACGATGACTGCCGCTGGTGGCGCCAGTGTTGTTTATGTATATAAGCATGCCCAAGTTGGAATAAAGGGGCTTTTGTTCCGATGGGAACTCAAGTTGCCTAGTCGTTCATTCACCGGCGGCACACGCCGCCATTACATATCTCACTTTCTTTTTTATCAGAGAATTACTGAAGTAAAACATGCAAAACATACTGAGCACTGTGTGTACTGTTTGCATCGCTCATAACTTAACTAAGGTTCATGATACTGCACTTAATAGAAAGCTAGCTACAATATACATGTTTATGGCAAACATTGCTAGGTTTAGGTTGTAGCAGTGTGTACAATCTTATTCTGACCTTCCTTTTTTCTTCTTCTTTCGTCCCTTAGTCCCATCACTGTTGAGCGACGCTAATGAGCTCATCGATTGCAAGACTCAAATTAGTCACTCTTGAATATTACAAACGACTTTATCGGCACAGCAACGGTCTTCTTCAGCCGTTTTTTTTTTTTTTTTTTTCGCGCATGTCTGGCACTAACAAGATTGAAATCGTAAACACGCTCAATAATCTAAAAAAAAAACGTTTACAACGAAAACATGTAGGGATTGCTAGTCGCTGTATATCACGTTCACATTGAAGACGTAAACTTAACGCAAATATCGGTCGCTGTGCAGGAAAGTGGTTCCATTGGCATCAGCTCATTATCGGGGAACCACCGCCGTTGTTATTGTGCGCTCTACTCTACGAAGCTGGCAATCGAGGGGAAATACACGGCGCTTACGGCTTGCTTGGTGGAGAAAAATTAAGCGCAGCATACATACAAATTTTGACAACGCACCAATACCACCGCCATGATCGCAAATGCGTACGCCGGCGCTAGGATAAACACAAAAGCGCGCGCACTGATGTTCGAGAATGTTCGTGGTAAAGGTGTAAACAAGGGTCCTTTATGTTCCGCATAAGAATCAGAACGACCGGGCATTCGCGATTCAACTATTAACAGTGTCGAAGACAGTCTAGGGAAGATCGTTTCGAGGCGTGCGAGGGATCACACGAAAGGTTCACACCGGTTCGCGTTCCAAATCGAGTAGCGCACAGGGAGGACAGTTGGTCCTGGTCAAGAGACTTTAAAACTCTAAAAACTGATTCTGGCGGAATTTCGTGAGAGTTGAGCACTCACCTTGCCTGCAGCTCTCTCCATTGCCGGCGAAATTGCGTTTTTCGAAACCACGTAGCGTCTCGTCACCGGCGGTAGTGTTTACTTCCCACAGCCACCGACTCCGGAGTCGTTGAGTCGCTCGAGCACGCTGTATTTGACAGTGCCGGTCTTTCGTGCCTTAGAAATGAAACGGAGACGCGTGATTAGAATGAGATCGCAAGGCTTTAGCGCAACATGCAAAGAGCGCTGAGCCCTCCGGCGCCGCCACCGAGTTGCCGTGCCGCTCCCTGCTGCACTGGCTAGCGCTGGCTATGACTTGGGCTTTGGAGATCCGCACGCGCCTAGAAGAAGAATCGGTAGAGGGAAATGCAAAGTGCAACCGTGAAGCCGCACCCATTTAGGATGGTGGTTTTTGTCGCCATTTTCGTAGTGGTTTCACGAAACATGAACCCTCAGCTACCATACCTTAGCGGTGGAGAACAACTAAAAACTCACGCTATATCCACGGAATGAACGATGATAATTGGGAGAAGCTCAAGAAGGGAAGATCATCAGTACACCCTAATTCTCCCGTGAAAGTTAGTCCATTACGTTATTAGAAAGACGTAAGAGTGTGCGTATATATTATACAAATCAATTTTCACTTTGTTCTTGTTCTTGTTTGCAAAGGTGCTTTGTCGTCGGTGAAGTGGTGGATCGCTGATGGGGCGGAGCGTAGTGAGATGTTTGCAAGGACGAAGTAGAGGGCAGTTTGCAAAGGTGTCTACGAAACGGTCACAGAGGAAGAACAGACTCGTGGCTTTAGGGGCTTCTCCCCTAATACCGCGCCCTACGATATTCCTTCAATAAATTTTTCCAGATACTTACTGCTGAATGTGTGTTTTCGGGTTACTGCTATCCACACACAAAAAAAACTTTAGGTTTTGGCAAATTTTGTTGGAGATCAAATAATTGGTTTTCTAAACTACCTCTTTTTTAAGAATTTACGAGGCTCTTACAATGTCAGAGCTATAACAGACAGGAAAAGTATCTTCAAGAGGAAGCCACCCAAGAAGGACATATGTGTCTGAAGTAAAGCATGTGCAAATGCTGGCTTCAGTTTACGATGTGGGCGCTTTTTGTACTCCAGCATTGTTTTTTTTTTTTACACTCTGTAGAGACAAATTGTCATCGCATTCAAAACCAACTACCGCTTTCTCATGGCCATGTATGACACTCTAAACTCTCGGTACTCTCGGCCGAGATAACAATGTCATGTTTCTTGTTTTATTTTAGTGATGAAATTACTTGCAATTGGCAGTAGGTCACATTTATGTTACATCCATAAAAGTACTCATAACTAGCTCATTATAAACATTGAAGACACCCAAGGAGGCAGCGCGAAAACTGCCTGAGCCACTCAATCACGTCGCGGATGTGGCGAGATGAAGCCCGGAAAACTTGGGTCACCGGCGATGATGTTCAGGACAAACGAAAGCGGCAAGTGCTTGAAATGTGTAAAAATATACAGGGGACGCACAGCCCACGCCTTAAGGAGCTCGCTCCTAAAATATCCGAGCCCGTGTGGCGTACTGCACAGCATGGTAGACGAGATGTTCGCCGTAAACTGCACAAAAAATAATAAAATAACTAATAGCTACTGTGCTCTACCGAAGTGACGTCACACACACTAATTCAGGCACAAGTTGGTTTCTAATCAGGCGCTCTGTTCTGTTTGTCTAATTACCACCTAACATATGTGTATAGGCCATTCAATACGCTTCATTTCTCATTCTGAAGGGGGCGCCGAAAGTTTAATCAATCACCAATGACGGGATACGTCCTATTGCATCAAGCGCAGGCCAGCGGCTTTGGCTAATTGGTAACAAGTGTCTACATGTACATTTTTGTACTTGTAGAGTTCTCGCTACAACAATCATAAAGTGCAGGGCATGCAAGTTTTTGAAGTTAATGACAGCTCTTGAGTTGCATTGCCAGAACTGTTTAGTTGCCTTTGTGCCATATGCATATGAGCACGCAAGGGGAAGGAGGGTCGCCCCCCCCCTCGTCATGAGAAAGGGGGCGCAAAATCTGCCCCATACGTTGACGAATTAGGGAGGGATGTGGCACTGCGATGAACCTTCGCGCCCCCTGAAAGAGAATCCTGCACACGACTATGCTTTGCGCAAGGCCCCGGAAAGGCGTTTACCAATCGCCGTACGTTTTGAGATGTATGTCCCCGATTCATTTACGTATATGCATTAATTGCGACTAATTGGTTTCTTTCCTACTGAATAAATGGGGGGAAGTCGGGGGGAGGGGTATGTTGTGGTGAAACACTGCCCTCCCCTCTTGATGGAGATATCATGAACGCGATATGCAGGCTGCAGGTTCTGTCATGGGCGGCTTGGGGGTTGCAAGCCATAATTGCGTAACAGTGGGGGCGGTGCCCCCACTGGCTTCATTAACACAGACGATGGCTCAAAATGTGACCTGAGGGTCACAACGGAAAACGTCTTTCGGGACTTTCTGGCAGGCTCGCCCAGCAATGAACACCAGAAGCTTGCATACTGTTCAAGGCCTTAGTAAGAAATTTTGTTTTCGGGGTGAGGGGGTGGGGAGCAGGACTTTCTTTTTTAGTTATCATCATCTGCATAAGGACGATGCGACCTTTTCTTTCTAACATTTTGTGTTATCCGAAACGACGTTGTAAATTATGACTAACCGAAAGTTCTGACATTGCATCTATTAGTTGTTCGAAGCGACAAAATTACTTTGAAGTTATCTTTAAAAATCATACTTTCATTATTTATTTTCAATCAAACAACATCCCTTTCATCTGAATACCAAGGGCAGGCCCGGGTCCCCATTACTGTCCCTCTGTCCCTTTCAAAGGACATTTTTATGGATCGCACATTCAATAACGCTTCCTGGTGTAGAATGAAGGAACATAGTTCCAAAGGCTCGTTTCTGCGTTTCCCACAACGTTAATGAAAACCATGGAAGACAGCGACTGCTCGTCTTCCTTATATACCGATTTTCATTAACGTGCTTTGACGTAGGAAAACTTGAATGTCCCGGCATTTTTTTTTTCGGGGATTTTCACATCGTTCTCGGTTTATATGCAAAACCGGTGTGTTTAGAAAAAAAAAAGAATTGTTTAACAATTTAGAAAACGAGAGCGCATTATACCGTCCCTGGACAGGAAGGGAAAAACTGGTATCTTTAGCAAAAATGTTTAACGACTTCGAGTGCGTCGTACTCAACTATGGGAGAGCAGTTGTCCATCCCTGCATGTGTGTTTAGAAAAAAAAAATGTGTAACGATTTCGAGTACTTCGTACTCAACTATGGGAGAGCAGTAGCCGTCCCTGACTTGGAGCAAAAAAAAAAAAAAAAATCACAGCATATCCACGGATCAAGTGAATGAAGATGAGTGGGGCGAAGCGTCCATCCGTTCATCCGTGCTTCTTTCCATCCGTTCGTTCTCACTTCCATCTGTCCATGCGTCCATCTGTGCGTCCGAGCGTCCGTCCGTCCATCCATTCACCCGTGCGTTCATTCGTCTGTCAGCACGTGCGTCCATCCGTGCGTACTCCCCCTCTTCCTCTCATTTGCTACCTCAATACCAAAGTTGAAGAAAAAACTTCAAATGATGTTTTTTTTTTCTTGTAACCAATGTTTGTAAACTCAAACGTTCTTATATGCGCGCCGTCATTGAACGTGATTTTCATTTCAGCTTTTTACATAATTTGTCTGCCCTCTGGAGTATCGTTGGGGGTTTAAAGCCATAGAGTTTCTCACAAAATTACCTAAAAAGAAATCTGGCTGTAGTGAGCTGCTGCAGCCTGCATGCAAGGAAATGCCGGGATATGCGAGCTTTGAACTTGACTTGAATTTGTATACCTCGAAGACGCGACTGACTTAAGTTAAAATGGTTCATATGTTACATAGTCACTTTTGAGCCGAAGTCACAATCCCTTTTGAGCCGAAGCCTCGCGCAAAACCAGCCAACACAAGCCTCGCAGACACATATACTGTCATTCCCAGCGCTCCGATGGGGCCCCTCAACAAATTCGCATAGCCGGTGGCGCTACATTTCCCTCAGGGTATTTAAGCAAAGCATCAGAAATTAAAAGATGCTTCGCAACCTTTCCGCTAAGGGAGAGCGCATGCGCCGTGGCACCATGAAAAAGGCGGATTGTTTTTCACTTTCGCTTGCGAAGCCCCCTCCCCATCTTCTCACTCCAATTTGTCATACGGCCTCCACCGAGCAGGCTTCACGCGTTCAGTACTCCACCGCAAAAAGTTGTCAACCCATGTTTAAATGTATACGTCACAACGACTCCATAAAACAGCACTAAGGATAACTGCGGCTATAGGGCAATCGTGTCACGCTTCACCTCTAATAGCATCAGCGCTAAATCGTTTCACGCTTCACCGCTAAGACGATTCACCGCAAATTTATCTACTTATTTACTTGTAGCCTTGAAAGCCACAGATTCCTCATCAAATGCGTAAAGTGACCGCCAGATAGCGTCCGTGTCCTCGCGAGGGACGCGAAAAATCGTCATGTGATGAATGACGATGCTTTTTTCTCAGGGTCTCGGACACGTGGCCCACATGCAACCCGTGAACCCACCGCTAGCTCCCCGGCCGGTCCATGACTACTTTCTTCCCGTATCACTCGTGGGACATCCAATGAAGTCACCATGTGTTGAAGCAGAACACTGTGCAATGGAAAGTCTATATTTCATAAATAACGTCCTGATTATAGCCTTTAAGAAGGCTATATTACGTGTATGTTTCTTGAGTCCTGACGCAAAACACCCAATTTCCTTCAGAAAGTAATGAAAGTTCATGTGTGGGAAAAGCCTTCTTCCAAACGGCAGTACAAGTCAATATTTGTTCAATCTCGCCTCTCACCTGTTTAAGACTCCTGCCGCCATACTACGTTGAAAGGTAAGGAGCAAAAATGAAGGTATAAGAGAAAATTTTAGGTAGCGGTAACTGAGCCTAAGTAAACGCCTCACCTAAAGCTTTGTTATGTTTGGCTTATTGCCACCAAATCTGCAATTACTAGTGTGCTACAGCCACAAGGTATTGCATAAGTAAAAAGAAGAATAAAATAATGACCATCTAATTTGACTGGTTATTCATATAACTCGTGGTCGCTAGAACAAAAAAAACATTCATTAGGATAACAAGTGGAATAATTGATTCATTGAAGTAGCCTTATGAGGTCCTTATGGATGCGCCCTAAAGTGCGCAGTGGGCGACTCTCCGCTCTGGTCGAACATTAAATATAAATCAATCCATGAAGTGGGTTCGTGCCTCAGGTTAAGATCATGATCATTATAACCAATAATCTCCTTTCACCGCAGTTAATTATTTTAAAAACGTCGCTGACCTTTGATAATAAGTCCCACATCTTCATTCCTTCTCATTGACGCACATTCAACAAGAGGGCTTTCTTCGTATTTCTTGCGCTCCATTTCCGCTGTCGTTTCCATGGGCGCTTTCATCCTCGCCATGGCCATCGTCATCACCGCGACAGCCGGACGGCGGTGGGACGGCGGTGAGATATGGGGGTGGACAAACCGAGCAAGACTTTCTTTTCCGAGCAACCGCGGTGCGACCAGACGTTCAAGATGAACGACGACAATAACGTCGTCTACTTGAACCTTCGCTCCGTGCTCTTTTTCCTAGGCTGCATCACGGCCATCATCATATGCAGTGTGACGCTCTTCAACATCGTGGCGTCTCGGTTCTGGACGCCCGGAAGCCTCGAGCTCGACACCCCGCCGTCCGCCGTCCAGGCCCCGTCGTCCTCGCCGGTGTACTACGCACCGGTCTCCAGCGTCGCGTCGCCGTCCCGCGTCCCCACGGTCATTCCGCGCAAGAAGGGCACCCCGAAGCGTAGCGCCAAGACGCACAAGAAACACAAGAAGCACAAGAAGCGACCACACAGCCGGAGACGTAGTCCACATTCTCACCGTAGTAAGAAGCACAACGGCGATGGCGTCGATGCCTCGGAGGAGAACCTGGGCGCCATGCAGGCCCGACAGGACGCCCCAGATTCGGCGTTCGTCAACAACTACGACTCCTGGAAGGAGATTGCCGACGACGGCAGCGGGGAGCGGCGACGGCGGAACGAGTGTGGCAAACCCCAGTGTCGGTGGCTGAGCCGGTACCTGACATCCAAGCTGGACTGGACAATCAAGCCCTGCCACGACTTCTACTCGCACGTCTGTTCGGCCAAGTGGTTCGCGTCATCAACGCAGGAGACCACGGAGAGCGAACGGGACCGGCAGGGTTCGCTGGACTTCCGTACGCAGGCGGTAGCTCGTCTCATGAACGAGCTGACGGCGTACCTGAGGAACAAGGCGTCCGCCATGCCGTGGGAGCGCAATGCGGCGGCGTTCTTTTCAGACTGCGTGAATCCCAAGAACCCGCGCACGTTGAGTAGCATCAGGCCTCGCTTTCCCATCTGGCCCCTGGAGAAGATCACCTCGGTCAGTACGCTGCCCAAGCTGGTGGCGTACGTGGCGAAATTTTTTCGGTCGACGCCGCTCCTTAAGGCGTACGTCGGCGAGTTGCGTTCCACGCTTAGAAATGACACGCTCTACGTGGATTCTCCTGTGCTGCCCTTAGCGAGGTAATTCTTAAAATTTTGCGATTTCTAAGTTACGGGCCGAAGCTCATAATTAAACCTGGCACTTTTCAATGAATTCCTTATGAATGACGGATGAGTGAATACGTACGAGTGCATTGATGCTGTTCGTTTCCTCGTGACACACGCATGGGGTGAAGATCCTCTTAAATGTTAGCTATGTCGTCTGCATACAGCAAAACATGTTGCTAATTATAACAATGATTAGTTTTATCATTAAGGATGACAGGAGCCTATAGTTGGAGAACTGTTAAGCAAAGTGATGTTAAATTATGCTCAGTAACTGACCGCACTTCTTCTTTGAAGATCCTGACTAACTTCACAGTTAGTCGCAGCTGTACGTCGCCACAGTTTATCATGCTTAACACTGCACTAGTGGTTCACTAAATGAAGCACTTGCCACCATCTTGTGGAAGACTGATGCCGGTTCTGCTCTGGTCTTGACTAACAAATACGTGCGCGTGAGCTGTATAGATATAAGCTGCACCAGCGTGTGTGTCTGAGTACTGTTGAAACAAGTCGGCGAATGCTTGCCAGAATTCGGGGAATGCAGAAATCGCGAAGGATGCTTTGATCGGCGCACGGATCGTTAGCTCGATCCTGACTCCGAGACCACGTTCCCCCATTTCCACAGGGAGTGAAATGCAACACGTGCGCACAGTTTACGTGCACCTTAACGAATCGCAGATGGTCATACTCGTTTAACAGTCCTTCAGAGCAGAGCCTACTTCATAATCAAAATGTAGTTCTCGAACGTGTATGTAAGATGGCGTAATAATATAGATACTAGCTGTGTCTCTCAGAGAAATTGTTTCAGCACAAACTTTTCTGAGCCGTGCCATCTGTCTTCGGATAGTGCAATTAGCATGTGTAAATGTTTTCATTATAGCTCGCTTAAAATCGACAATACATTGTTCCCGCTGCCGGCCCGTCAAATCGAACTCAGCACATGCGCCAAGTAGGCCGCCCTCATGCTCACACTACCAATAGTTAGGCCTCATTTGTTGTTTAGCCGAGCCACACATTCAAATAGCCTGTTCCCTTCAGTCAGGGCCTTAACCTGTGCACCCTTGTTCACACAAACAACAAAACAATGATTTTTCAGAATAAGAAGTACTGCATGTAATTTTACTTGCCTTGTTTACTTGTATATACTCCATGAAATTATCTAGCCATATATATAACTCATGCATGTCGTATTTAACGCTTCGTTTACTCTCCCTTTGATTTGTAATAGATATGTGTACTCACCCTTCAGCAATAACCACCATGTTAGGTTTTTAAGGTAACAAAGGGAAATATATGCTGCAGGTTCCAGTATCTGTATCCCACGGCCAAGGAAGAAGACTACAAAAAAGTTATACGAGCGGCGCTTCAAGGCCGACGGGCTGGTGCCCTCCCACAAGCCATCGTGAAGCTGGAACTCGCCCTGGCCCGAATTGTCTCGCGGGACTTTGTTACCCTCGCCGACCGTACAGTTGAGACCGAGAACCTTCGCACCGGTGACGAGTTCTGGGACCCACTTATGATGGCCCTGGTAGGAAACCGGCGTGAGGTCCACGCCCTCGACCACAAGTACCTCATGAACCTCATGTCTGTGCTGCGAAACGCGACGTCGCCACTAGACGTGGCCAATCTGATCATCTACTCAACTCTGACCCAGATCGCGCCGCTCATCCAGAACATGTCATTCCTGATACCCCTAGGGCTCGAGCAAACTGTGACGGGCGTCCCATTGCAGGTCCAGGGCTGCTTGAGCCTCACCGAAAAGTCCTACCGACACGGTATGCGACTGCTGGCGCTCAAGGTTCTTGGGGTCACCGAGTGGTCACCGGAGAAGCCCAAGGCCCGAGTGATACAGAACCTTATCGCCGACCTCAAGAAGGCTCTGAAGAAGTACGTCCGTGCTTGGTTCACCGAAACAGACAGTCGGCGGGACGCCCTGAAGCGAATCAGGACACTGAAGGTAGACCTGCTTGGGGCCACGCCCCACGACGAGCTCACGTACGCCAGAAACGAGAAGTACTTCGGCAAGCCACGGCAAGTGGCCGCCCTGCTCGAAGATGTGCCCAGTCGCGACTTCAACTACGGTGGCGACTTCTTCCCGGGTTCGGCGTTCTCAACGGAGCCCAAATACATGGCCGAGACACACACGCTTTACCTGCCACCAGCCATGTTCGGGCTCATCGACAAGATGCAAGAGTTCGACGACCCCCTTTTGATGGTGCCGCTGATTGGGGCGCCCGTCCTGAAGGCGATGCTCGCAGTCATCGACGGCCGTGGCACGCAGACCTTCCTCCGGGACTCCTCGGTAAGCACGCACTGGTGGTCTCCGGCTGATGACTCGAAGCTAACGAAGATCAGGTCCTGCTACCGAGACCTGTACGCGCTCTCTCTCAAGGACATGCTCATCAACAGCAACTACCAGACCTTCTTCGAAGAGTTCATTGCCCAGGGTGCGTTGCTGGATCCCTTGCAAAGGTTCTACAAGGAGAAGGTGTCCAAGTACTATCCCGACGGGCTTCGGATTGAACCGGAGTTCACAGCCGACATGCTCTTCTACATAGTGTACACGATGGGCATGTGCGAACCGCACGGGTCTGAGCGTTACAAGGTGAAACACAGGATGGGCATACCTGCCCGCATTTTGGTGAACGCGCATCTCGGCAGCAGCGATCGCTTCAGACGCGCGTTCAAGTGCAAGCACAGTGACGAGATGATGCCGTTGCATTCGTGTTCATACTGGGATGAACACTGAACGCTGCCAGTGAAGGACAATACACCTGCGGGCACGATTCTATCTCATGTTCATGTAACGTGTTCATCGAGTGTGTTCCACATGCCGGCTCCCTACCAGCCCCAACCCATACATTTTTGTTTTGCTCAAACGCCAGCTTTCCCGTTTAAAGGCGCACTCATGCGAATGTACGAATAAAAAAAAGTGATTTCATGGGCGCCGACTCAGCTATGCATGCGTTTTGTGAAATGTGAGGCACTTATCTCGTGACTTTGTCGAGTCCGCCTATAAGGTGCTGGGACACAAATACCTATTTTAACGCCATTGACTTCCAGTCACTCTGAAGGCTTCCTATACCCGCCTCAAATATTTCAAGCAAACATAAAATAAACACTCTCGACATCAAACAAATACGCGCATCGAGTTCAGAATGCTGTCACAATCCACAGCGCCAAACGCGGCAGTGCTACGCACCATGAGAGCGCCACCAGATAAAAACAAAGCCATACTCTTCCATAGGCCCTTCTGCCTCCATAGCGTTGATTGTGACGCCACCAGCTGAATCTGATGATCTCCGCAGCAGGAATAACCTGTCTACCGGCCGGTATGCGCGCACACAGCTAATCTTCCTCGCACGTAGCGAACGAAAGGCCGAAACGACCTATAGGACAGCATCCCAACCATCAAACGCGCGTTACTCCGCTATTAATTCACCATTATGGCAAAAACTCTCGCGGCTACGTGTTCGTTGTGGACTTGCACGTAACTACAACATAGCAACTCAACTGCGGCCTCTGGGTGGTTAAGGGGCCGTTTGGTTGGTTTGTTGTTCCTTTTAGTCCCGGCGCAACCCAGCGCGGGGGAGCGGCCACGAAACGGACGGTACTGCGAGACTGGAATAGGAATACATAACGTTGTAGCCTGTTTTATTCATTTTCTTCAATTTATAAACAAGCTGCGCGAACACGTTCCATCACAAGAGTGTTAAGTAAATTGCTACAATGGCGTTAGCACCACCACTCACCTCTGTTGACAATGATTGAAATTTAACACCAACACCTTTTAAAAAAAAACTGCAGAGAACAGTAAACCTCGCAACAACATATAGTTCTGGTCTAGCACGATTGTTAGCACAAAATCGCGTGTCAAGGCGCCCAGTTCCTTGAAACTGCATCAAGTGCGTCGTGCGTGTATAAAAAGGTCCCGGTGACACTTGAAGATCGCATTGTCCCACATGCACACGCACGCACAAAAAATGATCGAACAAAATGAAGTACGGGACATACAAACATAACTGATAGTCCACCTCGAAGCACAACAGCTGTAAAGTTGAAAATACACTGAAGAGTGACAAAAAATAAAAGAAAGGAACATACAGGAAGCGTTTGTTCGATGTTTCATTTGAGTACGTTTCACAGTAATAATGCTATGCAGCACAGTAAACGACAGTGCTCGCCACAAATAATCAATGGCCGGTCGGCACACATCTACAATACATTGTTCGAAGTGTCCCAAGCTCTGGAAACATGTTAGCATTTTTAAAGTTAAAAAAAAAAGTGCGCGAGAACAAAAGTGACACTGTCAGTACTTCAGTGCTATTCAGCAATGAATTCACCAAGAGTAAAGTTGTTGTGATACGCCTACAGTTCAAGAAATCACTTTATATGGATAACAAATACAACCTTACTGATAATATAGTGAATATTTATCACTCGCGGAACTTGTGCGGAACAAATTATAGCACGGGAAATACCTACAAACAGGGCAACACAACTTCTGAGAGAGGGTGTGGTATGAAGCGTACTCTCAATAAAGCTGGCTGCTAAAAAAAGTCTATCTGAATAAGGTTTGTTTTGTTTGATCATTCCGGATGTTTTTTCACTTCATCGGGACTGACTAATGTTTCCGGAATTTGAAAGAAAAAGAAAACGCGTGTTTTTTTTTTTTTGGCCAGGCACTGTGGGAAGGTTTCTCCACGTATAGGAAGACGCATAAGCTAATTGTTTGGTTGATGTTTTGGTTGATGCGCGGTCTATTTTCCCTAAATGTGCGCAGTTCAGGTAACAAAGATGTAGCATGCCACTTCGGTAACTAGGTTCCAATATTCCCAGCAAGCATAAAGTTATGGAAGCGTTTGACACTTAATAGATGGTGGATGCATATGAGCATGAGAATCAAATCGTTTGAATCGGTCGTGCCTTAAACCATAAAATTCTTGTGATTACGGCTGAGCCAATCCTGTCACGCCTTGCCCTCAACGGCTTTAGCTCAAAAAGAACAGAGTATAGTTCCATTACGCCCAAACTTCGTTCCCTCGTCGATATCTCCTTGGCTTCCATAACAGCAAGTGCAAAAATAAAGACAAATGTTCAGCATTGAGAAGGCTGCATAGTTGCAGTCTCATTTAAAAGGAAGGGAAGTAATGTCCATCACCTGTAAAGCCGGTAGGTATGCCTTGGTGTCATTTTTTCGCATGCATACACACACAGCATATCCGGTGAGCAGCACGTCACTGTATACCATGGTCGCGAATCCAGAAGCCGAGAGGCGTTGCGCAAGCACAAGAACTCGCTAATGGGCAGATTGGGTCCTGTGACGACTCTCACAATTTCCATGCTCGAAAGAGAAGGGGAAGACTTCAGACGACATGTTCCTGCAGTGTGGAGAGTCTACACGTAACAGACCAAATGACAATGAGTTGGTCATGCTATGATGCCTATGATGTTTCCATGTTATATGATCTCACGTGAAGGTGCCTATATTTCGTTGCGACTTGATATGCTTGTAATATTGGACATTGGTGATATGTACGGTAAAGTGTACTTCCTCTGTTATGGTGCAACTGAGAAAAAATCTATTTAATAAATATCGCCATTCGGCTGATAACTATTCCATTCAAAGAAATCGCGAATGTAGGCTGTCATGCAACATGTGACAAACTTAAAGGATTTTTGCGAGCCAATCGGATAATTTTGGTCCCATCTCGGATAACTGGGATGAGATACACAACACGAGATGTAGACCAGACACAATAATTCCTCAGAAAATGTTGAGTGCACCGAGATACTTTCATCTCTCCGGTCACACTGGTCGATTTCGCCATGCAGAATGATTGCAAGTAATAAACCGTTATTCTAAATACTAAGTACTTTAAAAATTGAAATCGAGCACATGAAGGAGCACATGCCTCATTCATATCTTTACCCAAATACACAAACTAGTATCTAAAGCACAGGCAACTCCATTTATTACAGAAATGACACACAATTTCACTTTCTATTGTATGAATTCACTACTTCGCCTGCTAATTTCTCTTCTTTAAAGTGAAAAAAAAAACATCATCCATGCCCAACAAAGCATACACTCTATTGACTGCAATAAAGAATATCCTCAATAGTAATAACCGCGGTTGTCAAGAAGATGTCCCTAGAAGGTAAGCGGCTCACTTTACATATCTGCTCCATGCGTAATAAATCTAGATGGAAGACCTTTCGTATTCATCAAGATCTTAGGTATTGTTCATTGATATCATGGCTGTACAGATTAACACCCGACCCACTCTTTCTCAGCTGCTAATGTCATTTAAACATCTTTACTCTGTGCAGGGTTGCCAAGTGGACTTAGTCCTGGGTAACCAAATCTGCATTTAACTTACGCTGTTCTCTTAGCTATGAGCAACGCCTGTCCACCATATCTTACACTGACCGAGGTTTCTGTAGACAATGCATGTAGGATAAGTCTCGCCAGCAGACTTCGTCTGACTTGGGGGTTTTGATTTTCACTAGGAAACACGGACGCAAAAAACTGCACGGAGTTTGGCAAACAATCAACCAACAACAGAAAAATCTCTCCTTTCGCTCCGGGATACGGTCGTGCACTCCTGTATCAAACAAACCTGCCATCCAACAGTTAATGTCTGTACAAAACTTGATCTGGAGCCCACGTGATGGTCGCCACATGTAACAAGAAAAAATATATCTGTATAAACAAACACCAGAAAGCCCTAAAAAACACAGCATTTTACAGCGGCTTCAGCGTCCTGCATTGTTACTTTTCAGCAGGAAACTCTGTTGAGTGATTCGTTATGAAAACACCACAGATCTAATGTTTTCGGTAAGAATCTACACACCGCGAAGTTTTAATTGTACAAAAGTAATTTCGGGTTGGTGTTCTGTAAGGTTTTGTTCGGATCCTATATTCGCAAAGTCACAAATGCACTACTACTCAACGTATACGTGCTTTCAACGTATGCGTGATTGCGGAGCTTTCACGGCAGTAGTCATGTCAATATTATAAACTGAGTAGACCACCGTGGTTTATAGTAGAACAAGAAACTTTCTGTACCTATGTGCGCTTGTGCGTAAAAAAAAAAAGGCAGTGTGGACGCCAGCACACTATGCAAAAGGAGCAAGTGTTTTCGAGGGCTTTTTAGCTATCATCCACTGCGATCACACATCTCTTTCACACGGTTATTCATCACATTGGCGACCGTCATCTAGCACTTGCACTGCATAAGAGACTTTGTTCGTAACGCGCTGCAGTTCCAATCTACGACTCCGCGGCTCACGTCACGTGGTACATGCCGTCGACAAGGAAGTCCATCTTGGAGTAGTGCCTCCTTTGCCACACGTCCAGAATCCTTCGGCCGATTAGACCCATAACGACGAAGATGAGGAGAAGGCCGAGACACAGGCCTATCACTAGGCTTATGGAGGGAGACGCCTTGGCGGCCGTCAGGTCGACGTTCAGCGTCGTAGGTGCGAAAATCTGGATGGGTCCCCTGAGGTCGTTGGTCTTGGCCGCTGCGTCAGTTGACTTCTCAGTCACGTTCGGGCTCTCGGAAGTGACGCTGGTTGCGTTCGTCGACGGGTTAGAGGGCTTCATAGGGGCCGACAACCTCGACCACCAGGCATCATCGTCGAAGGTGTTCGTGGGAAGGATCTTCTTCATGGAAGCCTCCAAAGCGGACGACACTGTCGTGGTGGTGCTGGTCGTCCCTTTGGTCGATGTAGACGCTACGGGCATGTCGGAATACACTGGTGGAGGCATGTCGTCGCTAGCGGGCGTGGTGGAGGACGATCGGGTCGACGATTCTGTCGTTGAAGACGTCACCGATGTTGTCCCCTCCGAAGCGTGATTGGCACTGTCTGTAGACAAAGCTGTTCCCTCGTGAGGTCCGGAGTGAGTCCTTGATTCGGCAACGTGGTTCAGGAGATCCAATATGCCACTAAGTCCCAGAGGTGCTCGCGTCGTGGACGTCGTGGAAGCGTTCACACCGGAGGCTGCTGTGACACTCTCCGTCGTCACGGCGGGGCTGTTGGCGTCGCTGTCTTCCGTGTTGAGCTTAGCAGCCGACACAGTGGTCACCGTCGACTTGTCCCCGAAGGCTGCCGTGGCCATTTTGGCGGTAGTCACTTCAGCGACGAACGGTAACGTCGTATCGGGAGTCGGTGACGACGTCGAGCTTGACGAGGAATTGGCGAGGTCAGATTGCCGGCGTGTACCTCGACGTTACTGTACTTGGGCCATCCGGCCACTACCCTTCTTAGAAAGGCGGTTGCCGTTCGGTCCAGGCTAAGTAGCCGGGCTGACTTTTTGAAGATGCACTTCTCTGGTGGGTTGCAGTTGAAGAGAGCGCAGAGCACAGTACCTTTGTCTTGGACCTTGACAGTGGCGACGCTGCAATCATCTGCGCAAAAGTACAGAAAAAAATAGTGAACCCTGAAGCTAGTGACCCCTTAAGATTATGCTTTAAAAGTTCAACACTGGTAGCGATGTCTTGTTCCTAGTGCGTACTCTAATCACTAAGTGCATGAAACAATTTCGAACTTGCTATGCACCCCCTACGTGGGTGCAAGGGAATAGGCGCAGCAGTGTGTGTGCATTTTGTATTGGGTGACCGGCTTTAAACCACGAAACCATTATTATAATCCCATATTCTGACGCCCGCTGGCAATGGGCGCTTGTACCACGCATTATTACTGGGGTATTTCATGTTGCATTGTGAAGCATGTCTATAAGACGCGTCTGCATGTCTACAAGACGCGTCTGTTTGTAAAGCATGGAAGCCGCTTTCACTACATTTCCAGGCATTGAAAATGTTTTCCCTGTATTCGCAAGCAGACGCGTGTTCCTGTGGCATAACATACGCTTGCCACGCAAACTACCCATTATAGATCCCCACTCGGACCCAAACGACCCTGGTTTGGTCCCCACTCTGATCAAGGATTATTTTTTATTTTGTTTGCATCATTCTCAATTTTTCCGTCATGCAGACGATGATGATTTTTTGCTCAAAGACACACCGCCTTCGCCTACGATGGAATTTCTGCGAAACGAGCTCTTTAACGCTGTCGCGTTAAACTACCCCCGAGAGCTGCAGGAGCTGCATGCGAAGCATTGATTCGCCTATGCTTTCCTTGTGTTTGTGTACTGTCGTTTTGTTCAGCATGTGCAAAGAGGTTATACAAGATAAGGAAAAGAAAAACGGAAGGACAGGGAAGGACAGATTGCCTCGACGTTGCTGTACTTGGGCCATCCGGCAACTATCCGTCTTAGAAAGGCAGTTGCCGTTCGGTCCAGGCTATGAAGCCGGGCTGACTTCTTGAAGATGCATTTCTCTGGCCCGCTGACTACCTTCTCCTGGTGAAAGGGTAAAAATCCTGGAGTGGAAGCTTCCAGTGAATCTGAGAAGCAGCTAGATGTATGGTGTATCAGAATAACATAGTACAACACCGTTAAAGCTGGTTAATTTATTTTCAAAGGCACCACAAACACTTTCCGTATTAACCGAAACGTGAATTACTGAAAGCACCTGGAAAACAATGGGTAAATATGCACTTTCATTTTCTTCAAGAATATGCAAATACAGAAGTTATTTCCTGTAAGAGCAGCGCAAGAGTCACACTTTTTGTGATTTGCGACATCATTCTTAATGTGAACGCGGCTAAAGACTACGGTGTCTTATTCTGAAGCGTGAGCTGCAACAGATTGCAAAGAATACGAGAAGAAAGAGTTCCGCAGCGGTCGAACCAGCAACCTCGCGCTCCTTAGGGCACGATGCTAACCACTACGCCACAGAGCGAACCTTCTCGAACTTGTTAACGGCAGGCCATTTATATACAATACACCGTTGGACAGTCCTCTGAGCTCTATAACTTCAGCGCATTTTCCTCATGAGAAGCGAGCTGACGCGACGGGCTCCCATTGGGCGCGCTCTAAAGGCCGTCGCCCCTCGCATTTCGGTAAGCGCCACCTGCACGGATCGTTGTATATCTTGCGCACGCGATTATCAGACTCGTGACTTGATAGAGCACAAAGGTCACTTCACTTGCAGCCACCGCCGCAGTTATGAAACAAGCACGCTTCTCGCACACGAAGAAGCAAGAATTTCGTCAGTTTTTCGCGCTCGTCCTGTGTAGACATGTACGTTAATTTCATGTGTCTTTCTGTTTGAGCAGCGTGCTTTGAGTGTCTAGCTGTGACCGTTGTTTGTCCTCGCTCGTCCTCTGTATGCTCATTTCGCGCGTGCTATCTGTTTGAGGTGCCCGCTGCAAGTTTAGAGCTGCTTGCCGTTCTTCGTGGGACATTGCAGTTTGCTCCTGTAGAATTCATTCATTCGACCTTCTGGCGAAACAATGCACAATCAACGCTTAACTACCTCTGTTAGATCGCGTTTCACCTTTGTGTTATACTTATTCTTAAAAAGAAGGATTAATCACGGGTTTCTGTGGCATCTCATGATCTGTGCTGCCCTGAAGTGACGGAGCTGCTGCTTAATATGACCGAATTAGGAGTTTGAGGTCAATAATCGATGCATACGCTGGGTGGAGCCAGGAAAAACACATGCGAATTATCTGACTTTACGAATGAACGAGTGCCGAATTCACGAGCGTTTAATGTAGGTGCCAATGCGAAGTCAGCATTTTCTTGCGTGTTGTTTACGAGGAAAACTTCGGCCTTCTCGCGTGATGCCAGTTCAGGGATAATGTGCCTTTCTTCTTCTAACGTAAGTATTAGCCTATTTACAAAATAAGAGACCACTGTTGCCGACAAAAGTAACACATATCGATCAGTATCATCAACTTGATCTCCACTAAGTTTTGCCAACATTTTTACCTTTTTTCCAAGGAGATTAGCAAAGCAAGGACGCCCATTGAGCCTATCTATGCTGGAATATTTACCATTCCCGAAATCCGCAACTGTTGTCATGTATTTTCATTGTGATAACTATGTAACGTATGCCCATGAGGCGACTATATGCTCTCCCATAGTAGAGTATCTACAGTACTATATATAAATCGTTACCCTCTTTTTCTATACACATTCGTCCCGCATTCGTCGACGCGTTTCTGAGAAGCTGGTCGAAACTGTAGCGAAGTTACGTATCGCCTTGCGCGCCGAAACGCCGTCTCCCCTGATGCGAGCTTAGCATCATGAACTACGTGAACGCTTCCAGCGTTGAATTCCAGCATCGAATTGTCTCTGGCGCCTGCTGCATGACGTTGTAAACGCAACCCTAGTGCACACCCTCAAGTGCTAGGCTATGCGAGGCAATCGTGTTTTGGGCAGTCACAATCACCCGTGTTTATGACCACGCAAACACCACCCTCACTGCCGCTTCCTACGCGTGATCGATCCCAATATTTGGCGCATTTCGAAGAAATGCGATGTTCGGCTATGCAGAACTGTGATATAATACCACCTAGTCAGATATTTGCCTCGCATTCCTAAACAAGCTGCTGATTCTCTGCACGTCCCTCCATCACCCGAAAAAGTAAAGGCAGCACTACAACCTTACTATTTCTGCGTGCACCACCGAATCTCGGCTTCGGTCTGGAACCAATGTAAGAATAAACGCTTCCACATCATCACCAGGAATGGCAGCGGCCGCGGCAGTCTCCAAAGAGCGCTATGGACTTCATAGCGCTGCGGACAGCGACGACACCAGTGTCTACTTGCTCAGCAGTGAGGAACGGTCTAAGGACGACTTTCAACTCGTACAAAGACGTAAGGCGAAGTGCAGAAACCCCGCGTCCCCCTGTTTTCAGGGAAATCTACCATGATAACTATTCAGAAGACCACAGTCATACGATCATTTTTGCAGCAGAGCTTGGTACCGATAACTTGAGGCGATTCAACAGACAATCGGTCTCGGTGCTTCTCGAGGCGGCGGTGCCAAATGAAGTAAATGACGTGAGACTCAACTCACGAAAAAATGTTCTTGCTATTGATGTTGCACACGAGACTGCACTGTGCCCAATGAGCAAAATTACGAAATTTGATGGCATAAAAGTTCGCTCGTACATCCCATTGAGCAGTGGTACCACTAATGATGTCATCTATGATGTCGACATCTCTGTTTTGAACACAGGCTTGACCAGTCTTGTGAAACCAGTGGCTGATGGCATCAAATATCATACATATGCCTCGCATGGGCACATCTCGCTGAATAAAACTAACATTCAAGAGAGAATTTTGGCAATCGTGTGTCAAGGTGGGCCACTTTCGACATCCTGTATGGCTGTTCATTCTAAGGCCACTTCAATGCTGCAAATGTTCGAAGTTTGGACACGTGAACGCTGTGTGTCAGAGCACAATAATTTGCTCGCGCTGGGCCAACCACATGCTACGAACTCCTGCTGCACTACGGTACTCAAGTACCACAATTGCCTCGGGTCGCACGACGCTTCGTCAAATGACTGCTTCAACAAACAGAAGGAAAAGGGCATTCTTAAGCACATGGTTGCGAGACCAGTCGTCTCGTCAGGAAGCTGTTGCTGTCGTCAGAATGCGGCGCTCCCGAATCCGTAGTGGTTCAGGGAACTCTGTGACACGTATAGTTCACAGGTAACACGACCTCTTTTGCTTACTAGAACATACGTGTCTGCGTCAATTTATGAGGACAGGACTACACCAGAAAATATGGACACTGATCATTGGCCGTCATTACCAAAGCTGCAGCCAGAGCCACAAACACAGCCAGAAGCCCAAGCACAGTCAAAGCCACAGCGCCACCCTCAGCGAATCGAACGGTCGCAGCAGACCGAGCCAACATTGACCGAGTCAACGAGAGCGCTGGTTAGCCATGCCATGCCCGAAAAAGGCCAGGACATCCGTACGACGCTACGACCTCTCATGGGCACTATATTTATGCTTTTGTAAACGCTCAATACTCCATCAGCCCAAACGGCCTTGACACTGCTGGAGGTTCTCAATCCAGTGTTTTCAGCATTTCACTAGTCACCACGGAGCGCCCATGACCCTCTCCAAGGCTGCAATTTCCCTGTCACATGCCTGGATGCTGAAGCCATGCAACTGTAACAAAGCTTTCAATGCTTCCTGGGCTGAGAACGGTCTCGGCCAATGACCCAGAATACTTTGTTCCGACACAGACAGATCATCTAGTCTATCCACAGCTTTAGTAAGCCCATGTTTTGGCGCATTGGAATGCGTACACTCACATGGAAAATGGGCGATGGTTTCTTCGCGGCTACAGAGCTGAGACATTGAAAGATTGTTTTCAGGCCTGTCCGGTTCTGGTAGGTTATTGTTCGGTTAGAACTCGCTGAAATACCTCGTAAATGCCATGTAAATACCTAACATATACATATTTACGTTTAATTTGTGTGTTCTTCATTTACCATGTATAGTACATAAGTAAACATATCTTTGTAACAATTTTTGGTGTATCTGTGGATGTTGTGTGTCGTAGCGATGTTCTGTTGGATTGTAATTGGTGTTCACTGTTCGTGAGAATAAATTTCTCTAGACACAATTTATGCTCTGTACATAATGTAAATGAATTTCTTCTAAACAGACCCACTTTTTCTAAACATGCCAGGGTTTTTCATTTACGGGACGGCTTTATGCTCTTCCATAGTAGAGTACCAAGTACTCGAAATTGCTAACCAATTTTTTTAAACAAACACAAATTTTTGTCGACTGCGACATCATCATCTGTGAGGCCTACAGGATGGCTTGAATGCTCTCCCACAGTAGAGTACCATGTACTATCGTTAACAAAGTGTACAAAACACAAAACTCTTTGAAACACACGAGAACGTTTTGAGTTTCGCGTCATCTTCGAGAAGGTTACTGTAACTACATTGTAGAGTACATTCTACTATAAATCGTCGAACATTTGTTCTAAACACATCCCAGCACTCTATATGGTTGAACACTTTTTATATCCACAAATGAACTCTGTTTTGACATCGTTGTTGACGCATGTGTAACAAGAAAATGTTGTGTTGAAATGTTAGTGCTGTCTGTGAAAACAAAACTTTTCAAAACATACACCAGAGTTCACTACTATACTAGTGAGTTCGACGTCAATACAATGCATTCTGAACACATGCTAATGCTTTTTCTTGTCTGGTGTAACGTTTAGGTGGCCCGGCATCAGTGTGCAGGCATATTTTAAAGCTGATAGTCTTTTTTTTTTCTGAACGCAGAAACTTTGGTCTGTCTGTCTGTCACGTAGTTCATCCGCCCGGCCGAAGTTTAAGCACTTCATGAATGGCAAGCCATGTTGAAGTAGTGGCTGCGTTCATATTTGTGAACATTGTCTATCAAAGCAAATAATGCGCATGTCTGAGGTGCAACATGAATACATTAGTACTCAGTGATGTTTCCATTTACCGGAAAATAGGCCCATATATACGTAATTCTAAAGAAGCTAATGTTTCTTGGGCTGCGCTGCCAGTGCGATGCTATGCATTGAAAATGTTTCTGCCGATGATACGGTGCTGCCACGTGGCACTGGTCCTGGGTTCTGCACAAGTTCATGTTTCCCGTCGCCATAGCCAAATGGCGTTCATATATCACGCAGCTCCATATCTCACGAGGATGAGACCAGGGCGCACGAAGCACAACCGGCAGAAGACTATCGTCTTTCGACGACATTTGTAGAGAAGCACGCAGACACGCAGGCAATATTTAGGGCGGAAGCCCCTTACGCCGCGGGCCGTATGTCCCGCAGTCGTCGTAGTCGTCCTAGTAGCCAGCTACATTGCACTGCATGTCAATATAAACCGTGTCACAGCATATCCACAGAGTGAATGATGATGAAGTGGCACGAAGCGTCCGTCATGTCCGCCCATGCTTCTGTGCGTCTGTCCTGTCCGTGTGACCGTACGTGCATCCTGTCTGTCCATGCGTTCGTCCATCTGTACGTCACCTGCTTCGCCCCATGCACTCGTCATCATTGACCTCGTGGATATGGTGTGATTTTTTTTTTTCATTACTGGCAGTTTAAGGCACCCCCTGTAGTCGTACGGTCTTAGCGATGTTGGCACGCAGTGACGCAGTCTCACGCATCGTAAACTGCCGAACACTTGATAATGTTCTGTAAAGGGCTTCACCCTATAGTACAGGATGATGGCGCAGAGTTTTTCAAAGCACTGGTGTTTAGGGAAAGCGAGGGCAAAATAGACTTCAAGCGGGTAGAATTAACTAGAAGGAGGTTATCTGATTGGAGGCTAAAGTCAAGGCACGAGTGAAAATTAAACCCTTCACTGCAAAATACCAATCCTCAACCTCACTATTTAAGGGAAAAAAATAAATGTAGTTTTTGGTTCATTAAGTATTACGGCTTGGTGGCTCTAGCCACCGCCCGATCTAAAGGGTGCAGCCATACCCATCCATCCATCCATCCATATTGGCGTCACGCAGGTCCCAAGTTTGATACGCATAAAGGCCTGACCACACATACCCCTTGCAACGTGTCGGAGTGTGGCCTTCTCACGTCGTACCATGCCCTCTCCCAATCAGAAAGTGAGGGCGCGCAACTTCGCTTAGCCACACGCCCTTTTTTCAAGAGGAAGAGGGCACTGCGCCACGTTAAAAGCCACGCGCCATGGCGCTGCGACAGGTACGTGTGGTCAGGACTGTACGCCGCGGAAAAGCCGGACAGCTTTAATAATACAATAATAATAACTGTTGAGGTTTAACGTCCCTAAACCACCATATGATTATGAGAGACGCCGTAGTGGAGGGCTCCGGAAACACTCAGTCACGTGGGGTTCTTAACGTGCACCTAAATCTAAGTACACAGGCCTCAAGCATTTTCGCCTCCTAAAAAGCGGCCGCCGTGGCCTGGATGGATTCCTGCGACTGGCGGGTCAGCTGCCGAAAGGCTTAACTTCTTGACCACCACGGCGGGGTAGCGGACAGCTCGTTAAGTGGTTAAAGCTTAACTGTGAAGCTCATACAACTGCACACACAGTCGCTTCCCGTCTTTTTTGTCCCCCCCCCCCTGCACACGTACCTCTCTTGCAGCAGCGGTCCACGCACTCCTGCAGCTTCCCGGACCGGGTCGGCTCGATGAGGCTGACGTTGGCGCCGGAAGCCCTGGAGGCGGTCTCGTCCAGCGCCTGGCCAGTCTGCCACACGCCCGGGGGATCGCACTGGCTCTCCGCACCCATAGCCCGAGCCGAGGGCAAGGACTGAGTCAGCAGCAGCGCGGCAACCACCAGGAAGAGACCTCGCGCAGATGTTGACGACGACATCGCGGTGGCGTCGGGCGTCATGTTCTGAAATGGATATGAGTTTGTAAGCTTCAACGCCTCGTATCGTTTTGGTTGCCGATTAACACTATTCTCGCACAAACTGCGCTTGCTATTGTAACATTGCGTGGAAGCTACAAATTTTTTTGGTAGAGTGAAGCCGTATATATTTAGGTTCTGGCAGATCGCGGCCGCAGGTAAAAAAGCGAACAGCAACAGTTTCCACCCAACTGATCAATTAGACTGATCCAGTGCATTCGCGTTGAAGAGATAGGCGTAGCGCAAAAGTAAATATAATGATGTGGGATTTCACCGAAATATCAAAGGAGGGGAACAATGTCGCTGCACACTAGACCACTTGCATTAGGAAGGAACATCTTTCCATTTTTACTCTTTTAAAACAATGGGTTTTTATTAACTACACGAGTTTACGCGAATACGAGCATCGGCCACCATTGATGAGTTTACATGCGTCATGCGCAAGAGATGCATCGTTATCTTTGAGTGTATGCCTTTGTGTTCTCTGAATGAAAACAATATTGACAATGCATAGATTAACTACACCAATATTCGCTATATTACTTAATTACTACGCCGCACAGGTTTGATGACACTCGAAAGTCGAGCGGAAATCGATCGCCTGATGTTCCTGTTATCACTGCACAGTTATTTTAAATAGACCACCCAAGATGCGTAGAGACCAAGATAACAAGGCAAACACGTCACACACACGATCACACACTCGAAAAATACTCGCATATAACACAATATATTATTTTTTTCCTCTACATGCATTCGTGAACGGAACAGCGTACAGTTGGGGGCTCTAGAAATGCTGCAAAATACGCCTAGCAGCTAATCAGAGGCCTGAAAACAGACTACTCGTATGTGCTGTATTTCCTTGGTGATGATTCCTCCCTTGCATTGGCTCCCTTGTCAATACTCGTACTTTCACCAACTACAAGCAGCGGAAACTGATCAACAGACTTAATTTACAACTGAAATACGCCGGAGTTAGCAGAAGCAGCTCCTATTCAAAACTTCCATCCCCTTGGAGAGGATGGAAGTAGACCACCCCGGGCGCCTGCCGGCACCAGCGGCGTCAGCGGCGACCGCCTCCAGGAAGCGGATGGGACAAGCGAGCGACAGCGACAGTGAAGATACTCATGCTTACTATCTCAGCAGTGAGGACTTCTCAGATGACGGTTTCCAACCTGTGCTAAACCGCAAGGCGAAGAGAAGAAACATGAGGACATCCTCATCCTCAACTATTCAAACTGTAAGTGAAACGCCAAAATCGAACACTTATACCATCCTGTTTCTGCCTGCACTTCCTACTGTCAGCATGAAACGCCTTAACAGACAGTCTGTGTCGAGGTCTCTGGAAACGCTCGTGCCAAATGAGATCACGGACATAAGAGTGAACGCCAGAAAGAATATACTGGCTGTGGACGCTTTGCATGCAAGTGCGTTGGGCGTTCTGCGCAGTGTAACTGACTTGGACGGCAACCAGGTGCGCTCTCATGTTCCCTTGGGATGTGATGTAGTAACCGGCGTGATATACGACATTGATGTCGCTATTTCCGATAAGGACTTACAACTTCTTGTCAAGTCAACAACTGATACTCCAATTGTTGATGTCACCCGGCTAGGCAAGTCTCGCTGTGTGAAGATTGCGTTTAGGAGCACATCACTCCCCTCTCATGTGAAGGTGGGGTACTTCAGACATGCTGTGCGGCCTTTCATTCCAAAGCCTCTCCAGTGCCGTAAATGCACGAAACTTGGACATGTGAGCAGCGTCTGCGAGAATTCGGTGGTATGCCACCGCTGCGCTGAGCACCATGAAGCGGATAAGTGCGTCGCAACTGTCAAGAAATGCTCTAATCACAATGGATCCCATGAAGCCACATCGAAGGACTGCCCACGGATTCAGAAGGAAATTGCCATCTTGAAGGAGATGGTGCGCGATCACTCATCTCATCGAGAAGCCGCAGCTAAAGTCAGAAGGCGTCGTTTACGTCGACGTCGGTCTTCGAGGACGCCCGCTACCTCCTCGACACGTTTGCGTGATCCCTCATCAGTACCACCTCCTTTGCCTCCCAGACCACATGCCGTGGGAAAGGCTGTAAAGGACAAAGCCAGTGAGCATACCCTAACTGCGACAGAGTGGCCTGCACTTCAAAGGGAAGCAGCATCAAGCGAACCGAAGGAGCTTCATGACGGCCAGCCCGCGCTCCCGGTTCGAGATCTTTCCAACCAAGACAGGCAAGTGACTGCAATCGTCCCGGTTCGAGATCTTTCCAACCAAGACAGGCAAGTGGCTGCAATCGTGCAATCATTAATTGCCACGATTCGCACGCTACTGAGCAGCATACAATCTCCGTCTGCTAAGAGTGCACTGCAAATACTGGATGCACTGAATCCAGTTCTTGCTAACTTCGTATAAGCACAATGGCTCAACAAAATCTCCACTTCCGCACTGAAGTTAAAAGTGCGTCGATTTTTCAGCGGAATGCCAGAGGCATGAAGTCCCGTATCTCGGACTTTCGCCAATTTGTTCGGGCCAATCGATTCCCTATACTTGTCATATGTGAACCAAACGTGTCAACGCCTTATAGATTGTCCGGTTATGAAGCTTTTTGTTCAGCCGCTTGCGAAGAACGAAGCAAAGTAATTGTTTACATTCGCACAGACTTGACTTATCTTTCGCACCCAATAAGTTCAAATGACGACAATCAGTACGTGTGTCTTCGTGTGAAGAAGAATGCAGTTTCGTTCACGCTTATTGGTGGATATATATCTCCGTCATCGCGATTTGACTGCGACAGATTGAAAGACATCCTAATGAGAACCGATGGGCTTTGGATCATCACCGGTGACTTCAACGCCCATCACATGCTTTGAGGGAGCACTAGGATGAATGCCAGAGGCCGGAACATTGTTACATTCGCTTCCGATTACGACCTTTCCATCATGAACGATGGTACCCCCACATATCTGCGGGGTCGCCGTATGGCAGTTGCCTTGACCTGACATTGGTGTCACGGTGCTTCTCTCACAAAGTTAAGTGGTTTTGCGATATTGAGACTCATGGGAGTGATCACATACCCACCTACGTGACGATCGATGGTATCAAAAAAAATTTCTCTTCCGATGTTGCAATTGGCACTGACTGGTCGATGTTTGCATCGCGTGTTCAGAACGCTTGCCAAGAAGGCCTCGCCTGCAGCCTGGAAAATACCATAGTGGAAGCTATGCAAGCCTCCAAACGTAAATTACCATTTTCGTCTAAAGTAACACAGTTTGACATCAAACTGGAAAAATTACGAGCTATACGAAGGCGTGCTGAACGACGATACAGACGCACAAGATCAATTTACGATCTGAGGGAAGCAAGGCGGCTCCAGAAAAAGATTCAACGACGCATTTACAAACTAGAGAGCGAACGCTGGAAAGCATTCTGCGAATCTCTAGACCCTCATAAACCACTGTCATATATCTGGAGAACAGTTCGTGGTCTTCGCTCCTCTCCACAACAACGGCACCCTTTTAAAGCTTTGGCACTCCATCAGGGAAAAACAGAACTCGAGGTGGCGGAAGAATTTTGCACGAGAGTTGCTGGGAATATTGTGAACGAGAGCATCGACGCCGTGATCGTTCCTGAGACGCGATTACCAGAAATGGACATTCCGTCCACCATGGAAGAACTGGAAGGTGCGTTAGTCGCTTCGAAGCGCATGTCATCGCCAGGTCCTGATGGTATTACTTTCAGTGCTTTGGGACACCTTGGACAAAAAGCTAGAAAAGAACTTTTAACATGCTTCAACAACTCCTGGCTCAGCGGCAGTGTTCCCCGAGAATGGAAAATTAGTCGATTAATACCACTTTTGAAATCGGGAAAATCACCATTGGACTTGACAGCGTATCGCCCTATTGCCCTCGCAAGCTGCCTCGGAAAAGTGATGGAAAGAATGGTTCTATTTCGTCTCGAGTGGTACTTGGAACGATACACCAAATACCCTTCTTGCATGGCAGATTTTCGTCGGGGCCGCTCCTCCATTGACTGTGTCCTTGATTTATTGACATTTGTTCAACAAGAAAAAAGTCGCAAGCGCATATCAGTGGCACTCTTTCTTGACGTGAAGGGTGCATATGATAATGTAGCTCACGATGCCATCCTCACTTCTCTCGCAGCAATGGGCATTGGTGGACGAATGTTTCAATGGATAAAAGATTATATAACTGGCAGAGGTTTCTTTGTACAAACGTATGAGGGTACAACTGCCCAACATTACACCTACTGCGGAGTACCTCAGGGAGGTGTTTTAAGCCCTACATTGTTCAATGTGGCCCTCATTGGTCTGGTAAAGGTTCTGCCAAAGTCGGTGTGCCTATCCATATACGCCGATGATATTTGCCTCTGGAGTGCTGCAGTTACTCGCCCTCAGGTGCGTGCACGAATACAGCGGGCAGCAACCCTCACAACAGCCTACCTTCAGAAACAAGGCCTAAATATATCAACTGTGAAGTGCGCGTTGATGGCGTTTACACGCAAAACAATGACGCCATACCCTGTTTACATCAATGGGCAGAGTGTCAAATATGCACGGACGCATCGTTTCCTGGGCATAATAATCGACAGAAGTCTTTCGTGGAGCCCACATTGTGCGTACTTGAAGAAGAGACTGCTATCTATTGTGCATATCATGAAATTCTTGTGCGGTAAAGCATGGGGAACTTCTGTGGCCTCCATTCTACAGCTGTACAGGGCCCTATTTCTGGGTCTATTGCGCTACAGCTTGCCGGTACTGACTAACACTTGCAAATCGAATAATCATTCATTGGAGAGTTTGCAGGGTCAGGCACTGCGTATCTGCCTAGGACTGCCCCGATGCACTTCTACTTATGCCACAATCATGCTTGCCAAAGACCATCCGGTCAGGACATATATAGTTGTGGATTGCCTCAGAGCGCACATTCAACATGCTAGCCGTGTCCCCGACCACCACTTGGCCCTTCTACCT